GGGGGGGGGTCAGAAAACGCCCTGAAAGTGTCTTCTAGAGCCTTCTAGAGCGGGACACAAGAGCTGTTAACTTCTTCCACGTTCAGGTGCACAGGTGAGGGGACCCTGGACATAAACTGCAATTTTTGTAGTCACGCAAATGTCACTGGTGAGAGCATGACATCACCTGTTAAACGTCGCGGCCTTTGAATAAAGGAAAGCACCTGAAGGCTTTGTGAGAATATCCAAGTCTGCGTCGGGTCTAGGGTGCTCAGACCTGCCTCGCCCGCTCAGCCCGCTTCCAGCCCGACGCTGTGAAGACCAAGTTCATTAGTTGGCCTGTTCATTAGCACTTCCAGCCCAGGCTGGGCAGGAGGTTCAGGAGAAGGGGAAATGGGAGGAGCGTTTTCAGGGATCTGTCCCAGGAAACGCCGGGCCAGCCCTGGGGAACTGAGGTAGAGAGGCAATATGCAGAAATCACCCCAAAATGAAGTTAATTCTTAGAGGAAGGAGGAGAGTGGCCACAGAGAAAGGCAGTGAGCAAAAACAGAGGATTTTTCCCGAACATTTCTAACATTCTGAGAGCTAAAGGAAGTTATCCCAGGCTGCCAAATAACCCAGGGAGCTCTAACTACAAAGGGGTCTCTGGCTAGTTGTTTTGTGTTTGGTTTTCTAAAACTAACAGAAGGGATTTTTGAACTGAAGGTTTTGCCTGTAAGTGGAGCTGCCTGTTTGGATGTGTAGAGGGAACCAGTGAGGAAATTATTTTTGTTGCATCTTGCAATCGTACCTGCTGAAAGTATTAATCCTCAAAGAATATCTGCCTTTTTCATATAGAAACTCAGCTCAGGTTTCAAAGTCTCTTGCCTTTAAACAAGCTCCATTCTATAGATAGGAATATCGAGGGCTAGCCATGTGGTTTATTTTCTCCGGACTGCCCAAGAAGCTCTGAATTACAGGGCATTAGCACAAAAACTGGGTGATCCCATCTCATCAGAGAGCCAGGGTTGGGGCTTGAACTTGGAGCCTGGGGTGCCAGCATTTCCTGTAGAAAAGCTGGTCGCAATGATAATAGGAAAAGAAACATGCTTTCAAGTGCCCCCTCCTGTCCTCTCAGCCTGTTCTCACTTGCTTAGAGGAACTTTACATGCTCAGTCATCCACAGCATTTTGCCTGGGCCGGGAAGAAGGCATTTCAGCCCTTTCTGAAGAGATGAGAAGAAGCTATATAACCAGCCTCTCTCCCCGAGTTTCCCCCGTCCCCACTTCCCTGCCACTTCCCACTTCTGTGTTTGGGCTGCCCCAGTGAAGGGTGAGAAGAGCTGGGAAAACCAACCCAGGATGGTGGAAGGTGCCTATGTTGTAAATGCCGCCTTCAAAGTGAGGAGCTTCTTAAATCTGCCCCCTGTAGTGCCCTGTAACCGGTGGCTGGAGGTGAGTCTTTTCGAGATCCTTGGCTCGGGGTGGGCATTCACAGAGGAGGGCATCATCCCGTCACAGGGTGGGGTATGTTGGGGTATCCCTTTCCTCTTGAGCCTGAGGGCCATGGGAAGTCCCAGTGAGCTTGGGTTAAATCCCGGCTCCACTGAACTATGATGAGGGCCTGTGACCTCTCTGAGCCTTCGTGTTTCTACCTGTGAACTGCGTGCTTCAATGTGGTGACACCCACGGGACCTGGCCTGGAGAAAGGCGTGCCCTGGAGTTCCTTCACCTCCCTGGAGATGATTTTGCTGTTACCATAAAGTACGAGAGTCATTTCTATGGTTGATGGGGGATCCTAAATTTAAATATTTTTCAAAAGATCTCATTGGAATATTGTACTTTTTTCTCCGTTCCTGGGGCCTGTGCAGGAACTGGGGATGCGTGATAAGATTGCACAGAACCATGTCAGGTAGAATAACTTGGAGGAAGAATCGCTCCCCAAGGCAACTTGTCTTTGCCCTAGCACCTGCCGTTTATTCTTTTGAATTAAAGGATAAATCTTTTTAATATAGGGAAGTACTAAAAAATATGGAAGACATATAATCACTCAAATAACCTTTTGATTTTTGAAAGAATCAAAGCTGTATATATGTATATACATGCTATGTATATATCTCTCTCATTAGGAAATGTTAGCAGTACAGAAACACTGAAATGAAAAGTGAAACTTTCTTCCTACCCTCATCTCTGTTCTTAAAGGTGAACTTTGTAACAGTCTTTTGTGAATCCTCCCAGGAAAAGAAATGCAGACCACAGAGTATCTGTTTCTGGATATGTGCTTTGAAAAGTGCACAGCAAGGAGTTGTGTCAGGTACACACAGGCCTGGTCTGGAGACCTGAGCTCTGTGTACCAGGAGCTTCAGCCCCACTGTCTTCACTTTATTCTATGGAACGGATGCACGTCAGAAAGAGTTTATTAAAAACAGTATTTGTAAAGAGGGCCACCTTCGTGCTTTAAATGAATAAAGACAGGGTTTTATTGCATTCGTCATTGGAGGAAGTGCTTAGAAAGGGTTGCAAAAACTTCTCAGGGAAAGGTGGCTGCTTTTTGGCAGGGGGGAGGGGAAGCAAACCAAAGAAAAGGAGACGGAGGGACAAGAGACACAGAGCATTGTCCTTCTTGAAGACGGCCCAGCTTTTTGTACAGATCACTGACGGGCATTCAAAGCTGCAAGGGGCTGGCTGGTGCCGTTTTCCGTTCCTTTGAAGGGTGTCAGTCTCTCTAGGTTAGAAAAGAGAGAGGGAGGCAAAGGGGTGAGAAAGAACCTTGTCTGAAGAATTACTGGGTGGAAATAAACTGTAAAAACCAACATGGGCATAAGCATTCTGTTTACCTATCCCAAGTTCACTTGACATCCGTGTGGAATTAACCTCCGGATGGGTGAACCTTGCTCATTGACAAGTGCGTTTCCCTGGTTGCTTGTTTCTTGCCTCTTGGTAGAGAGGACGGGATTTATCCAATGGAACAGGGGGCTGGGCGAAAGCACTCTGTAGGTTTCCTGGCATTAGCTTCTCAGTGAGGATTATTACATCCCCTGGGTTTCCTTTCCAAAGACGCCCTACCTGGTCCACGTTACGCTGCATGATGTGAACTTAGAATCTTGCCAGTGTGCCCAAGGAGCACATGAAAGGGCTGTGCATCCAGACCGGCTATGTAATGAGAAACATTCAATACTCTTCTTTTAATGGGTGGGAATTATGCACAAAATGGTATTTGGTCTTCACCTTGACCTTGCTGTCTGACCTCTAGCCTCACTCACTGAAGAAATGTCTT